TCAAGAAACAGCCCTGCAACCAGGAGTCTTTTTGTGTCTTTGCTATCCCAGGTATTTATCTGCGGCCCGTCTCCTCACTGGATGTTGGTCACGTCTCGTGGAGCGTTGAGGCTTCACCCAATGACCATTGATGGCTCCATTGAGTCTTTCTCCCCCTTCCATAATATCAACTGCCCCAAAGGTTTTCTGTACTTTAACAAACAGGTACAAGAACTGTTTGTTTGATTTTATCTTATTGTTATACTTTACTAGACTGCACTGAGCTGGTTTTTATTATTAAATCGGTAGACAAATTATGACATGCAGACATTTTTGTCCTCAGAGCTTTATGAATATAAACGTGGAGGTCCTGAAGAGTTTAGAAATTCTGTTCTTTTTTTTGCACACGTTAAGAAAACAGACCACAGAGGAAGGAGCGTAATTATTCTGGAACAGCACCAGGTTTAATTGTCTCAGCTGAGAAAGTGTTTGAAGATCACTAAAGCAATCCAGAAGTGACATTACAGGAAGTAAACAAACAAAAACCAAATCAGATCCTTGAGGCTTTTCTCTGTGTGTGCTCTCCCACAGGGCGAGCTAAGGATCAGCGTTTTGCCCACGTATCTGTCCTACGACGCCCCGTGGCCAGTCAGAAAAATCCCTCTGAGGTGCACCGTCCACTATGTCTCCTACCACGTGGAATCCAAGGCAAGGCTCTTCTCGCTAAGCCCTCACAGCACCAAAGGCGCCGAAGACTCGACACACATTCGAGGCGAAACACATTCCCCGGACTCAAACACATCCACTCACATAACACGATGCAAAATAAAAGCATATTGATCGAGGAGATGAAAGGCTTCTGGCCTTGAGGTTTTTCTTACTGGAAAAGAAAAAAAATCAATGCAGGGTGACTTTGAAGGGATTAAGTCTTTGATGTGAACCTTTTTTAGTGGGATTTTGTATTTTTTCCTTTCAGGTGTATGCTGTGTGCACCAGTGTGAAAGAACCATGTACACGCATCCCGAGGATGACAGGAGAGGAGAAGGAATACGAAGTCATAGAACGAGGTCAGTGTTTCGGAGACCGTCTCTAAAGAACCTTCTGTTGTTTAAATGTGCTGTAGAAATAAAACAGACTTGAGAGTCAACACAAAAAGATTATTATATAGAGATTTAATAAATAATATTAATAATTGTTTATTTAGCACAGTTCAACTCAGAGGATAGAAACAAAGTATCGATGCTATTGGACTGGTAGCTATCCACTACCAGCACCTGCGTTGGTATTGATATTATCAATGTATGATAGTAGTGATCAGCCTTTCCAGCAAAAATGTTATTCACTGATCACTTGACAGCCTTTATTCAAAGAATATAGATTCAGTACATACAGAATATTTGACCTTAGATTAGATTAATTGCTGTTTAAATACAGGGAGGTTCTATTTATCGGTTACTTCAGGGGGTCATTTAGATGTATTTGACAAACTACTTTTAGTTGGCTATTTGAGCTTTTTAAAAAATGACTTTAATCAGTCATGTTAAACTATTTGCAGATACTTTTAGCTGTTTTTGCTTTTTTAACTTGGAAACTACATTAAGCTGGAATTGCTCTGTTATTCACAGCTGTGTCTTTCAGTTATTTCTAAATTACTTTTTGTTATTCAGTCAGCCATTTACAATATATTTCCTGAATATGGTGGTTTTGTTTGTATTTAAAGTGTCACCTTGATGCCAGTTTAACTGTCTATTCATTGTTTTTGGTGATTTGTGTGCTTTTAGCTAGATTTCAGTCATATTTTTGCATAGTTACAGACAAATATGTCATCTTAAGCTACCGGGCTTTTGACTTGTGGTGAATGCGTGACATTGAGCTCTCCTCCGTAGCTGCTAGCGCAATCGTTTTTGTGTCTCTGCTTTTACTGAAGATCAGTGTAAATCTGAAGTTGTCTTTGGCTGATTCGTTTCCATGTGAATGGAGAGCATTGACGTTTCTCCTCTTGCCCCCTGCAGATGAACGCTACATTCATCCGCAGCAGGAGAAGTTCTCAATCCAGCTCATCTCTCCAGTGAGCTGGGAGGCCATTCCCAACACACGGTAAAAGCTTTTTATTGCACTGCTTTGAAGAGCCATAGTGCAGTTTGTGAAATCAATAAATGCTTTGTTTTAATAGATACTGGGCAGCCATGGAGAAAGTGGTCCAGCCCAGATTGTGCCAGTTTTATTTTCTCATTTTCCCTGCCCTGAGCTGTTCCACTGGAGACTGTGGGAGAAGTGTGGGCTTTAATTGAAAGTCTTGGGCCATTTATCCAAGTTGTTGTAGACTATAAATTTAGTCTCACGTGGCTGCTTACCTTCATCAGTTGAAAATATTGAGTGGTTTATCCA